CTTTCTTTCTCATTTTCCTTTTTTCTTATTTCAGACAATCGCATACGAGGATTAATGTGTTTGCTCTCTTAATAGTATTTCTTTTTTTGTCAAAAAAATCTTAAGCTAGGGTGAAGTTTACCACCAAAAAAAAATGATCTAGTAACCATAAAAAAAATTTTTTTTGGGACAAAAGAAGAAGACTTTATTGAGAAAGAGAATGAAATTACGGGATAGGAGAATAAGACATCCTCCAAAAGATACAGAGAAAACCCAGAGGGAGAGGGCAAGAGAAGGAAAGACAAACAAACAGGGCTACAGGCTTTTAATAAAAACATCCCATCTTCCATGGAGAACATAAATGCTAATGTCTCAGAGGTGACCATGCGTTTTGACCTATAGGGTAGCCAAAAAAGTAACCCTCTCCCAAGTTTAGTGTAGGAAGTGTGTCCGTTGTTAAAGATAGTCGAGTTGCGAGTGAACCAATTGCACCAAAGACAAGCAAAGAAGATACCTTGCCACAGTGGTAGAGCTTCTCTCCTCACTCCTCTCTCATTGATAGAAATGCTTAGGAAAGTCTTCACAGTTGCAGGTGACACCCAACAACAACCAAATAATTAAAAATGCCCATCCATAATTTTCGGGCAATTTCACAATGGAGAAACACATGAGCATGAGTTTCCCCACCCCTAAAGCACATTACACATACATTCAGAGAGAGGGACCGATAAGGGCAATGAACTTGGAGCAGATCATTAGTGTTTAGCTTTTGATGAATAGCAATCCAAGTAAAAAGCTTCAACTTAGAAGGAACAGGAGCCTTCCAGATGCCTAGGCAATAGAGTTATTAGTAGGGGCGCTGACAAGATGTAGAAAGAGGGATTTACAAGTGAAAATACCTGAAGACTACAAGGTCCACAATCTTTGATTAGGCTGGGAGGACAAAGTGATAGGTGCCAATAGGTCCAATAAGGTTAACGTTGAAAGTCTCCTTGTTGAAGAGGTCGTGAGATAAATGAAAGTTCCAAGATGTCCGACCATGGGAAGTTGTTGTAAAACAGGATATTTGTGCTTGGTGTCTAAGTGATAAACTGTAGAGCCTTGGGAATTGAGTAGGTAAAGATTGGGAGCCCAACCATCAGTCTTCCCAAAACCTCAAGCTAGAGCAATCTCCCACTTGTATCCAAGTGTGAAGAAGGAATATTAGGTAGGTTTTGAAAGATGGCTTTCTAGGGACTATGATGAATAAAACACCTACCTGCTTTGACGTCCCATCTATCCCTCTCACTCTCGTGAATTTGTTTAACCACCCGATGCCACAAGGAATCCAGTTCTCTCAAGAATTGCCATATCCATTTAACTAATAGAGATAAGTTTTTTAATCTAAGATTTCCGATCCTCAGACCTTCTGAACTATTAGATTTGCAACATATCTCCCAATTGACTAGTTGGTCCCTACTTTCTTCACCAATACCCAACCAAAGGAACCTTCTCATATGACTCTCTATTCTATCAACAATCCCACAAGGCATCCTAAACAGAGATAAGTAGTAAAGTAGGGATATTAGAAAGACATGCCTGAATCAATGGGGACCCTACCTCCTAATGTAAATAGACCAACCTTCCAACTCTCTAAATGCTTAAAGACCTTGTTTTTCTACTCTATCCCAAAAAGACCTACTTTGCGGTTTACCACCCCAGGGGACCCCTAGATAAACGAAAATCACTCCAACTTGCGGCAACCAATCACCCTCACTAGATCTTCTTAAGTGTCATCTTCCACATTGATTCTAATAAGATCATTTTAACCCAAATTGATCTTTAAGCCCGAAATAGCGTTGAAAACCTGAATAAAAAATAAGAACCCTAAAAATGGAATTGACTGTTATTTTGCAAAATGAAAACCATATCATCAGCAAACTGTACATGCCAAACTTC